TGCCAAAACCACACCGGTATGGAGTGGGTTATACTTCAGGATTGCTCCGGAGTATGTTACTCCATTAACATCCCTACCAGTCAGCGGACCCGCATAAACTCACTTACGTTAAATTACATGATTTTTAGCCAATAGAATGTTAGATCTCAATACAGTAATTAAATTTTCGGGTTTTCTATGTTCTTTAAAATCTGAACGTTTATTTAGTTGATTGATTTCACACGAAGAGCTAATAAAACTATTATTTCAATTTTTTGATAACATTTTAACAAAGTTGGTTGTATATACTAAGCTCTACTTATAAACTTAAGCGATTGAGCTTCATAACTTCAGACAAAAATTTCTTTTTATAATCGTCACATATTGCACAAGATCCCGTATTTTTACGTGTCTATCTACCCTTTGACATTGTCATTGATAGGATTTTTGGATAAGAAAAAGATATTTTTGGATCAAGAAAACTAAAGCCTCGTTGCGAAATATTCACATTTAAAAAAAAATGTCATGACACTTTGCGAAACCCAAATTTTTATAACTGGTTGATTGTTAATTAATCGCACGACCCCCGGGATCGTCTAATAGTCGACTAACTGAGTCACTGGCTAAGTCGTCGGTTTAGTCGACTAAGTCATTAAGTGCTTTGCAGATAATGATCTCATGCGTATTTTTTTTCGATACAGATCCTGTGTAAACAATAATCAATTTATCCAATGAAACTTAAAAAAAGACAATAGTTGAACTTTACCAATAATTTTTAGTTCGTCAACTAAGTCGACTTAGTACTTAGTCGACTAGCTGCATATCGACTTATAACACAAATCTGGACACGAATTTTTAAAAATCCTAGTGGTAATTAATCCACCGGGGAATGATAAATTTTAAAATAACGATATGGTAAAAATATCTTGCCGAAATCAATTTTTATAAATTTCCTCGGTATAATAAATTATTGTTTTTTTTTACGTTTTTTCCTGGTAATAGCAAGATTTTAAACCATCTCTTCAAGAAGTTAAAGACCTTGTGACAGAGAAGGGGGGAAATACAATCCCTATTTATTGCACGATTCCTGCAGATCTAACCACACCTGTTGGTGCTTATTTACGTGTAGCAGAACAAAGTAAACTTTCTTTTCTTTTTGAGTCGGTGATAGGAGGAGAAACGCTTGGAAGATATTCTTTTCTTGGTGCAGGTATGTATATTATTGTTAATATCAACTTTTATGTTGCCCCTTTTTTTATCAAATTTATTATGCGATATATTTGTTTACACACATTTGTGTTCAACTAGATCCGTATAAAGTGCTTAAAATAGGAGATAATGAAGCTCTCACAGGAGATCCTTTGAAAACGCTCGAGGACGAGTTGAAGTCTATCAAATATATTCCTGTGCCTGGACTTCCTCTATTCACAGGTAAATACATTAAAATATAAATATAACATATACATATATATATATAAATTCTAATTAATCTGCTGATGACTAGGTGGTGCTGTAGGATATGTCGCGTATGATTGTGTGAAATATTTTGAACCGCGAACTACACGCGAATTAGATGATCCTTTAGGCCTTCCAGATTCAGTTCTTTTGCTTTTTGACACATTGGTCATTTTTGATCATATATATCAGGTTATAAAAGTGGTATCTCATTATCGATACGATAAAGCAGATTCACAATTTGTAGATTATCATTATCAAAAGGCTACGGATAAAGTAAAGCATGTCCTGAACTTGCTTAATAAAGAGCCCACTCCTAATATAACTCAAAAAGAAATAATATTGAATCAGACATCTGTTTCTAATGTTGGCAAGGATGGTTATAAAGAATTTGTTACAATATTGAAGGATTATATAAAGAAAGGTGACATTATCCAAGCAGTTCCATCTCAAAGATTTGCGCGTCCTACCACTATCCATCCTTTCAATGCTTATCGACATTTACGGACAGTAAATCCATCACCATATTTGTTTTATATCGATCTAAATGACTTCCAAATTGTTGGTGCTTCTCCCGAGCTCCTTGTCAAGGTCGAAGATAATATCGTATACACACACCCAATTGCTGGTACTCGTAAACGTGGAAAAAATAAAGAAGGTATGGTCATTTTCTTTACTTTGTTACTTTCCTAATTATTACACTCTTATATACCCTTTATCTTCCTATATATACTTTATTAGAAGACGAGATGCTTGCCAAAGAACTACTTAGTGATCCGAAAGAAAGAGCAGAGCATGTTATGCTTGTTGATCTTGGACGAAATGATGTCAATCGTGTTTGCCAACCTCAAACTGTTAAAGTTGACTCGTTAATGCATGTTGAACGTTACAGCCATGTTATGCATATTGTGAGTCAAGTTTCCGGTAAACTTCGTCCGGATAAAACAAGGTTTATACGATATATACATATGACACATTTAATTTGAAAATTTCATATATTGAAAACATACCTTTGACATTCGTAGATTTGATGCGTTCAGATCAATTTTTCCAGCAGGTACTGTTTCTGGAGCACCCAAAGTCAGAGCTATGGAGCTTATTTCTGAACTTGAGAGAGAGAAAAGAGGTGTTTATGCTGGCGCTGTAGGTCATTTCGATTTCGCAAATTCCATAGACACTTGCATTGCGATTCGTACCATGGTTTTCAAAGATGGTTTTGCATACTTTCAAGCAGGTAAGATAAACTCTAATTTATAAATTTTGATATGTTAATTGGAGTTGGATTAATTTATTTTTTACATTCTGACATTTTACACACTAGGAGGTGGAATCGTCTATGATAGTAATGAAGATAGTGAATATCAAGAAATCGTCGACAAGCTTCAATCAAGTGTTACTTGTATTGATAAAGCTGAGGAATATCATTTTAAATTACAAGTCTAATTTTATTATAATGTATTTTTAAACCGTTTTTTTTTTTTTTTTTTATCGGTATAGTTTGATTTGTGGTCTTGTGATGATGTAAGTTCTTATAAATTTATAAAGAATCGAAATGAAACTTATTAGAGTAGTTAAATATCTAATTTTAATTTAATATATTTTATTATATTAAATTATATAAAAACCTTCATTCATACTGTATTTCAATTTCATACTATAGATATAATTTGATTGGCTAGTTATTGAAATAAAAGTTGGAAAGCCAAATTGTAGACAGATTATAGTATCAGATTAATCACATTTAAAATGTCTACGTATAACGTGCAGCTAGATAAAATATATATCTTTATTAAGTAAATTCTTGATTTTTTATGAGAATGATATTTTGTGCTATGAGTGCGTGAGAGTGAAAACCTGGAAACCGATTTAATGATTTACTATGATCGGTTTCCAGGTTTTCACTCTCAC